TGATGTACTAAACTCACTAAAACTGAAATAAAAATCAATTAATTTTTTTTTACAAATTACAATATTAATAAAAAATTGTATAAATGACAAAAACACAAAAATACTATAACTAAAAATTTTAATAAAAATGGAAAATATTTTTCATTTTCATTTAGTTTAACCTGATGTACTAAACTCACTAAAACTGAAATAAAAATCAATAAAAAAAATTTACAAATTAAAATATTAATAAAAAATTGTATAAATCACAAAAATACTAAAACTGACTAAAATTTAAATCAAAATGGAAAATATTTCTCATTTTTATTGTTAACCTGATGTACTAAACTCACTAAAACTGAAATAAAAATCCATTTTTTTTTTACAAATTACAATATTAATAAAAAATTGTATAAATGACAAAAACACAAAAATACTAAAACTAACCAAAATTTAAATAAAAATGGAAAATATTTTTCATTTTCATTTAGTTTAACTTGATGTACTAAACTCACTAAAACTGAAATAAAAATCAATAAAAAAAATTTACAAATTAAAATATTAATAAACATTTTTATAAATCACAAAAATACTAAAACTGACAAAATTTAAATAAAAAGTGAAAATATTTCTCATTTTTATTCAGTTAACTTGATGTACTAAACTCACTAAAACTGAAATAAAAATCAATAAACATTAATAAAAAATTACAATAAATAAATTTTTTTTATAAATGACAAAAACACAAAAATACTAAAACTAATAAAATTTTAAATAAAAATGGAAAATATTTTTCATTTTCATTTAGTTTAACTTGTACTAAACTCACTAAAACTGAAATAAAAATCAATAAACATTAATAAAAAATTACAATATAAATAAAAAAATGGTATAAATTACAAAAACACAAAAATACTAAAACTAATTAAAATTTAAATAAAAATGGAAAATATTTCTCATTTTTATTGTTAACCTGATGTACTAAACTCACTAAACCTGAAATAAAAATCAATTAAATTTTTTTTACAAATTACATTAATAAAAATTTTTATAAATGACAAAAACACAAAAATACTAAAACTCACTAAAACTTAAATAAAAATCTTATTAAATCTAATTTTTTATAAAAAATTAAAATATTAATAAAAATGGTAAATGACAAAAACACAACAATACTAAAACAAAAACTTAAATAAAAATGGAATTTTTTTTACAAATTACATTAATAAAAAATTTTATAAATGACAAAAACACAAAAATACTAAAACAAAAACTTAAATAAAAATGGAAAAACGAATTTAAAAAAAATATATAATAGTATCTCAATACTAAAATAACTCTGGTTAAGCACTAATATTTCATAGGAAATGAGCAGAGTGAATGTGATTAGAAATCTGTGTGGTTTGGCAAAGCTACCGAGCATGGCAGATTTTAAAAAATCTCTTTAACTCTAAATATTTGCTCTTTAAATATAAAGCTTTAGACAAAAGGCATGGAGACTTAACTCGCTCAATTAAATAAAAGAGTAAAAAAACAAGACCTATGAGACCTTGGTTACAACAACGAGATTTAATTGTGGGCTTATACTGAAGGACTGCAGAAGGGAAACTGTAATACGCAGTGCTGCTGAGCGAGCTAAACATCAAGGTAACTCGCATAATAATTTGTAATCCTTGAATATGAAAGAGAGGGTGAGCTAGCGGGGGCGGGTTGGGCCCAGACTCAGGGACAGTGAGAAGGAGGGCGACCCGAGAGATCAGAGGTCACACGCAAGGAGAAACTTATGCTGAGGCCTGAAAGAGGCTTGCATGCACAAAAAACAGGGATATACAAATGCAAATGTGGCCTTAACACCCACTCTTACACTATTTAGAATAACAGTGAAGTCATCAAACTCTACATTTACACTCTCAGAAAAAAGGTACAAAACCTGTCACTGGGGCGGTACCTTTTCAAAAGGTGCTAATATGTACTTTTGAAGTACTAATATGTACCTTTAGGGTGAATAAGGTGCAAAAGTCTACCTTTTGAGAAGGAACCACCCCAATGACAGCTTTATTTCTGAGAGTGAAGTATGGGAATCATCATGTGATCATGTTATTTTAGTATCAGTGATATACTGCTATAATTCATTATAATGTCATATTTTGAATTTGATTTGATTTTATATTATCCATTTTCATTTAAGTTAAAGGTTTAGTAATTTTGTTGTGTTTTTGACCTTTTTATATTACCTTTTTATTAATATATTTTTAAAAAGTTTTTATTAAGTTTTAGTTTTAGTTATTTCAACCTACAAAACAAAAACTACAAAACTAAACAAAAATGAGAAATGTTGCCTTGACAACTAAGTGAAATAAGTTTCATTTTTGTGTTTTATTTTTAGTCAACATTTATTTTATTTCAAGTCATTTTTATATAGTTTTGGTTTATTTAATTTGTTATTTTATCATTTCAACTTAAACTAAACAAAAATGAGAAACTCTGCTTTGGCAAATAACTGAGATAAAATAAGTTTAACTTTTTTACATTTTATTTTCAGTTAACTTTCATTTTATTTTAAGTTACAACTTTTTACTTTTAGTTTATTTTAGTTAATTTAGCACTTCAATTTAAACTAAACAAAAATGAGAAAGGTTGCTTTGGCAAATAACTGAAATAAAATGTTTAAAATTTTTTACATTTTATTTTCAGTTAAATTAATTACATTTATTTTTTTTAAGTTCATGTTTTAAGTAACAATTTTTTTTTATTTTTTTTTTTACAGTTTTAGGTTTTTAGTTTTAGTTATTTTAGCACTTCAACATAAACTACACTCTTTTCTTTCATCTGCTTCAACTTCCGCATTAATTTATTTTTTTTAGTTCATGTTTTAAGTAACATTTTTTTAAATTTTTTTTTTTACAGTTTTAGGTTTTTAATTTTAGTTATTTTAGCACTTCAACATAAACTACACTCTTTTCTTTCATCTGCTTCAACTTCCGCATTAAAAGGCATTCTTTTCTAAAGAAATATATGCCTACAAAACATATTTCAAGCATTTAAGCATAATCATTTACATTAGAAAGTTTTTATGACCATGAAAAACCAATTCAGGCAATTGTGTTTAGACTTTTGAGTGCTAGTGTTTACCATTTTAAGAGCCCAGAAACCTGTGCAAAACTGCCTTTTCTGAGTAATAATCTTTTTATTATTTTGGTAATTGCACTGGCTGTCATGGCAAATATAGGGTTAGAGTAAACTTCAAAGAAAACGGTTTTTGTTCACAAATCTGTGTTAATATAATCCAGTCAAGGGAATAACAACCCAAATATAATTAACGCAGACTTGCATTGCATTCAAGATCCATGCTTTATCAGTGCATTCCCTGGGAATCAAACCCATGACCTTGGCTTTGCCACTTGCCAGTGTTTGTGCTGTTTGAGATTAATGTGTGCTGTTGCAGGCAGTTTTTGCAAAGAAAAAGTGAAACTGTTGCTCAAAGCTTAAAGGCACAGAATCTAAATATAAATACTCACTGTAATTTTCTTTGCAGAAACTATTACTTTCCTACCCAACCCAAAAATAAAGGAATAAATCACATCAAAACCAGAAAAAAAAATGGCAAGGATGCATTTAATCTGGAAATTATGCGCTAAATTTAACCAAAATGGTTTCCAAGTAGCTCACATGTTGCTTTCACAATAATGATATCCAAAATTAACTATATAAGTCACAAAGTATCTAATATATCAGCCAAGCCACATCAGTCTGATAACACTGAAATTCTGGCTTTCGTTAATCAACCAAGCAAGACGTGTTGTGACATTTTTATGCAGTTTTTTGTTCTTTTTGGAGCTTGACAGCCACTATGCATTCATTGGATAGAAAACATGCAATGCTTTTTGTGTTATATGGAAGAAAGTAAGTCATATGGGTTTTGAGAGTGCGCAAATAAAAAAAAAAGCTGTATTAAATCATTTAAAAAGTATGTAATGTGTGTTCAAAAGTATGCATCCATCGCTTTATTCATGTAATAACAGGCAGTTATTAATCAGGCAGGCAAGCAAGCGCGTGAAAGCAAGCAGACAGAGAAGGAAAAGCATGCATGTCAACTCCTTCAGTTCCCAGGATGCACCTCATGAAGTTGGTCAACGGTGTGCAGAGCTGGAATCATACATAATCCCTATTATTCCATTTGTGTTGTTTTATAGTTTGGTGATTATTCTAAAATGGGGAAACTCTTATAATAAAGAATGAGTAGATGCATCTTTTGACTGATACTGTATATAATAATAAAAAAACACCTTAAAATAAAAATAACAAGTGCATTCGTTTCAGGGCTAAAGGGTGCAGTTAAAGAGCATTTCATCTTTGGAAGACACAAGAAGATATTTTGTAGAATGTTGGTTACTTCCATTGTGTGGACAAAAAATCCAATGGAAGTCAAAGGGAACCGAAGCTGTTAGGTTATTTAAAATACCTTCTTTTGTGTTTTGCATAAGAAAGAAATGCATACAGTTTTGGAACGACATGCGGGTCTGTAAATAATGACAGAATTTGCTGCTTCATTTTTTTTTTTTTGTGGACTATCCCTTTAAATCAGCAGATTGATCTGACACTGCAGACAGTTACTCACTCACTCGCAGTTCTTCTAAACAATGATGCAACATGATGAGCCGGTGATAATAAATCATCCACGCTATATGACTGACGCATACTTACTTTTGTCCTTCCATTTATTGAGTAGTTTCCCAGTTTTCCATTGCAATTCCTGACCAGGTCATCCATGCGACTCATCAAGAAGCAGATCTTCTCGCATCCAGGCTCCTTCCCCTCGATCCAAGTGATTTGATCCCCCCTTATGTCCTTAGTAGAGTCACTTTTCTGACTCACCAGCTGTCCGTCAGTGAATTTACCAGTCTGCTGGAGAGCTTTCACGTCCTCCAGTATGGACAGCCCGATGTCTTCACCCAGAAAGTTGTCCACTACACAAATGCCATGTTTGTTCATGCATGGGACTATATACTCAGTGGCCAGTTTGTGGGTTTGGGGTTTGGTGGTACTGCTGTCAGCTTCTGAGCTTCCGGTGATCAGCTGTTTTCTGTCTGGATCAGTTGTTTTCTCCTGCTGATGAGGCGTTTGAGGCACAGTTTTGGTCTTGTCAGCCTCTCTGCAGGTGAGTTTGTGTTTTTTCCAGTGCTGTTTCTGATGCTCCTTGCTGCAGTAGAAAGAGATCCGGCACCGACCGCACTTTAAAAGGTTTTCCATCTTTCCACACAGCTCGCAAAACTGTTTATCCTGGTCCGGATCCAGAACCGTAGCGCATCGGTCCATGTTCGCGTGCGGCTGGCCCTTTAAATCCAGTCCTTCGCGTCAGCCTCAACAACTGTAAACGAACAGCGGGGTCCGTTTCATCACACAGCAATATCCACGCTTTCTCCGTTAAACAAACGGCTGGGTTTGGGATCGTGCCGCGCGAGCTCCATCCCGCTGCTTGCGCGCCGCGCTCCTCCTTGCTTGTGTCGGTCTGCGTTCCGCACGTCGCCAGTACGAGCCAAACCTCTGACGTCAGTCGCGTGGGCGTGGCCTAGGGTTCAGAGCTGATAAATAGGCCCCGCCTCATTTCATTCACACACACACTGAAGGCGGGATGAGTGTGAAATTGTGTTACTGCTTTCGCGTAAAGGTGTAAAGCAGGGGTGCCCAAACTCGGTCCTGGAGGGCCGGTGTCCTGCAGAGTTTAGCTCCAACTTGCCTCAACACACCTGCCTTCAAGTTTCTAGTATGCCTAGTAAGAGCTTGATTAGCTGGTTCAGGTGTGTTTAATTGGGGTTGGAGCTAAACTCTTCAGGACACCGGCCCTCCAGGACCGAGTTTGGGCACCCCTGGTGTAAAGAGTACCTGAAAACCATACTTGAGTAAAAGTACAGATACCTTTACAGTGAAATTTACTCCATTTAGTTATAAACTACCGATTCCAAAACAACTTGAGAAAAAGAGTAGGCTGGCTATCTGATTAACAGTACTTAAGTATTTTACTCATACGGAATATAGGCTCAAAGATGCACTAATCAAAGAGACATCATGGCAGTGAAAATCAAGAAAGAGTTGATTTGTGAGGAGAGCAATCACGTTTATTTTCTAAAACCAAAATAAAACTGAACACTTCAAAATTGCAAAAAAAAAAAACATCCTTCAAAAAGGTTTCTTCAGTATGACGGATAAATAAAATAAGGTTAAATAAAATTAGCGCTTCTTGCGCTGGATGTGCTGGTTTCGGCCTCATTGCCGGCTGCAGTCATGTCCTCATCACATATATAAAACACCTCACAACTAGGAGCTCGCATTCACGTAAAGTAGCTTTGTTGGCAAGTTTGGGTGAGTAAGGGCCAAATGCACAAGATATAGTACTTTCAGTGCCCTGTAGTTGCGATATCACTATTTTGTAGCAGAAATAAACTGCTGGAGAAAAGCTAGGTGCCATGCAAAATGTAATGTGTAATGGCAACACTCATTACATATATAATGGAGTAAAGAGTACAGATACTCATTCAAAAATATAGTGAAGTAGAGAGTAAAAGTTGCTCATATCTTTGATACTCAGTAAAACAACAGAGGATCCAAAAAGATACTCAGGTACAGTAATTAATTACATTTAGCCTACTCAAATACACCTCTGATCTTAAAATGTTAATGCCTTTTTTAGTAGTAGGTGGCCTAATTAGTAAGGATTTGGAGGCTGCAGGTTTTAGTTCAGGTCGACGGGGGTCCATACGAGCCGATTTGTTCAAATGAATCGGATTCTGTTTTATTTGTGACAAGACTTTAGATCCAATTACTTTGATTGTTTTTGCATTAAATTGAATTGTAAGCAACCTTCTAAATTAACTTAATCTACTAGTCTGTCTAACCAAAACTAGATTTATTTTCTACTTTTTATTTATTTATTATTTTGTAATTAATTAATCATGCTGATAATCCCATTGAAAAATAGTCTTTAGTTGGTTATTACGCCGGTTTATTGCACAGTTATTGAAGAACAAAAGGCTCTTTTTAATCAACATTAACAAAGACAGCAGATCTATTTTCAATGCATTGTTTTGTAATGTCATTCATGTAAATGGTATAGCAGCATACACAGGGCAAGAATGTTACTGGATGGACTAATAAGTGCTCTATAAGGGTAAAAACATCTGATAAATGGTTATATTCTCAGTTCTAGGAGAAAAGTGATCGGTCTAAATCAGGGATTTGCCAAGGTGTCCGTTGAAAAGTTTAGAGAAAATAAGATTAAAGTAAATAAATGAACACTTTGATTAAAATATTAAATAATATATAATAAAATAAAACAAAAAGAAAGAAAACAATACATCTAACAGTAAAAATATGTAACGTAATAAGGAAATATTTTCCAAATAATATTTTATACATATTTATAATATAATTTTTTCACAGTATAAACTGGGTCTTAGTACATGACAATATTTAGCTTCTTTTTAAATTCTGGGATGGGGGTCTCATGCATGACGATTTAGCAATCTAAAAGATTGAAAACTCCTGGTCTAAATGGCCAAGTCACTCTATTTTTGCAAGTTGCCAAGCAAGCAAAAATGGTATGGGATTGCAATCAAATGTGCAGAAATGTAATTTGATGATTATGAATGTGTATTTTGTTGTCCACTGCCCCCTGTAGGAACATGCTGGCACTCATTCAGACAGTGAGGAGACACTGGGCCGCACTGTACACAGCTGGCATGAATCCTTCAGACCAAGGTTCACAAGGAGGAACAGTAATCTGATATACTGTATGTGCAATCAAAGGAAAGCGCCTCTCAATAAGATATTATGTACTTGTGTGTGTGTGTACACTGTACAATTGTATAACCACAATACTTTTTGTAAAACTATACACAAATGTATTTGTTTTTTTTATTTATTTCTGTTTAATCAGGATTGTATTTGAACCCATTAGGATTGGTTCCACATTATGATTTTTTTCATTAACATTGCTTTAAGTTTGTTTGTGTGTGCGTGGGAGAGAGAGAAAATTGTGTGAAAGTTACCTTGTCTTGAGAAAGTTTAGTTATAAAATCAATTATGAAAATATGTTTACTAAATTATTTAAATTAAATTTGAGTATAGATAAATACCAACTCTAGATGGCCCAGGCTGATGGGTCCTTAACATAACTGATGATATTCTTAGCATTAAACGACTTGTCACAAGCTGATTGGTTCATGTTGCATACGCAGCCAATGAGCTTGCTGCTTTACATTTAAATGGCTGATTAGCATTCGCTTGAGCATTCACTCTAAAAAATGCTGGGTTGTTTCAACCCAACTTTGGGTCAAATATGGACTAACCCAACTTTTGGGTTAAAAAAGTAATTTAAAATGTTAACCCATCAACTGGGTTAGTCCATATTTGACCCAAAGTTGGGTTGAAACAACCCCCAGCTCCACCTGTATAGATCTGCTACGAGTTATTTTATATGCTATTACTCACAGCAGCACCATATCGGCTTATGTATTGGCAGTAGCAAGTTCCTGTACTTGCTTGCAGCAGCAATAATCTACAAATACAGCAATAACCAACAGCAGCAGCGTAGCAGATCTATTCCGCCAAGACCAAATACATTAACATTGCCATATCAATTACCATGCTAAAATCTTCCAAGAGTTTTCATGATAGAAATCATTTTAAGATGACCACTTTTACAACTGGACTTTTAAAGAGTACAAAAAATGCCTCCGTACATACAAAACATAAAGCAATTCCAACATATCTAAGTCACAGCAAAATGTAAAAACTAATAAAACTAAAACAATTTTTTAAAAAGACAAAAGAAAATGGCAAAATGGGTTTCATCAACAAAATATACCTCTACAAGTTTACACAACTTAAGAGGTTTTTTGTTGTTCGTGAGTTTTAAAGATTTGAATAAGGAGAAATCTTAAGAAATCGGAATTTGAGTATAAAATAGTTGGCCAAAACTACAATATTACCAAGCAAATACTCAATATCCAAATTCAGAATGAAAAAAAAAAAATAATAATAATAATTTAAAAGCGTATTTTATAGTTTTGAAATCAAAACCAGGCACATTTCACACTTCACCAAACATCATATCTATCTATCTATCTATCTATCTATCTATCTATCTATCTATCTATCTAAAATCTCTCTCTCTCTCTCTCTGTGTGTGTATACATATATATATATATATATACATGAGTATGTGTATGTGTGTGTATATATATATATTTTTTTTAATTTGCATGAATAAAATAAATGTTCCAGTGACTATATGCCGCTTAAGAAAGGTCTGTCTTTGTCTGAGGAACTCATTACAAGGATGAATGTCATTCATAATTTTAAACCAAACCTCTTTAGCCGTCGAGAAAGGGGAAAAATAGATATCTTGATCTGGTTAGCTACTTTCTCTTTGGCGAAAAAAAAGAAGGGATTTTCTCTTAATGGACTAAAACATTCTCGTAAGTCAATGGATCAAAGTAAACTACGTTACCCAAAATGCCGTGCGGTGGCACGCAATTAAGACGCGCAGGTCCGAGTAAACAATGGAGGTCCGTTCGCGTGCCAGTGTTCAAAATAAACCGAATCGCGCGCAACACGCCGTTTTTACAACGAATGCGCGATTTTAAGAGCACGTTTATAAAACACGTTGTTTCTCGGTTTCATATGTGAGGAAGTACGTCATCATACGGTCGCATGTAAAAACCAATGATGAAGGCGTTCAGCGGGATTTAAACACTACAAAAACACAAGCAGCTGGTAAAATAGCAGTTTACTGTCCATCCGTGAACACACGTGTCCCTTTATAATAGAAATGAGTAAACGAGAAGGTAAAGCCTGACAGCATCTTAAAATCATCTGAAGTTCATGCATCGTTTGCTCATAGATTATGATGATGGCGAGTTATGCTTTTGTTTATGTAAATATGTATGTTCCTCGCAGACGAGGGATGCGCCCGAAAACGAAAGACAGAAGCCGGCCCGAAATCCGAGGACTGCACGAGGCCGGACTCACCTGTCATCGCTGCGTTCAAAGGTGAGCGACAGTCCTGCTGAGACAGGGGCGGATTTAGTGAACTGGGTGGGGGCCCCAGGGAAAATATAGGAATGGGGCCCTATACATTTGCACACATTTTCCTAGATCAGCCTCGATTTTCCTTTTTTGTTGTGATGCTTGCTGCTGCACAATGGTGCCCCATAGTTGTGTCCAATGTTTCTACATTTTTCATGTACATGTTATAATGGCTTTCTTTCATGTTGTAGACCACGAAATAGCAACTGATTTACACTTGAGACTAGTGCTGGGCGGTATGACCAAAAATTTATATCACGGTATTTTTCAAAATTATACCGGTTTCACGGTACATGACGGTATTTTTTTTTTCATGCATGACCGGGCGTTAACTATATTTTCTACTGATTGAGAGGAAATACTGCAGTATATTGACTTAGAATGCCCTATTTTACTATCATGA